GTGTGTGTGTGTGTGTGTGTGTGTGTGTGTGTGTGTGTCTTTCCTTCTTTGCCTGGTTAGCTTGGCCTGCCGGTTAACTGAGATCAGTGTAAAGTGTCCTTAACAAAAATCTCCAGCCTTCCAAACTGCCGAAAGTAGGTTGGGGAGGGGAAAAGAGACAGGAGAAATTAACAGGAAGAGAGAGTCTGGTAAATGAAAGTTTCCTGGTCGAAACGTGTGTGTGGGAGTCACGTGTAGGAAGTTTTATCTGGATATGAGTTTGTTGGAGACTTTAGGTTTGAGAAAATTTTCCATCTCCCCCTTTTCCCTGAATAGATACAAAGCCAACATTTGCCATAATTTAGGAGACAGTTTGATTTGCTAACCTGTGACACTGATTATTTCGTGTTGTCACTCGCCACCGCTATTTTAAAAGTCAGACATCAATTTGGAACAAATCCATCACTGAGGTGCACTTATTTAATAGTGAAAGTCTACTCGAAGGCATCCCCAACCACATTTTCTTTGGCAAAATGACCCACTCACCCAGGACGGGGCGGATAAGCGCGTCTTCCAAGAAACAGCAACCGCTAGTTGGGGGAAGTGCGGGTGAGCGGTGCTACGCTTTGCTGAATTCTTGCCCAGGCGTTTGGAGTTCGGAAGCTCAAGATCAAGTTCGTACTGGTCGTGTTCAGGAAGTTTTCGATGCCTGCAACCCAGCATCTGCGGGGCCAGAGGACCTCCAACTCCCGGTTGCAAGCCTTCCGATTCTTCCTTACATTCCTTCCGATTCTGACCCCAGCGCGACCCCCGGGACTGAGTGTCACTCACGAAGTGACTCACCGGGAACCGCCGCCCGCACTGTACTTACATCACTGTCGGCGAAGGCTGGCGCAGCGGAATCGACCTGAGCCCTGGTCCCTCGACCACGCTGTCCAGGACCAGCCGCCAGCAGCCGGCTCCTCTCACTTCCTGTGTAAATGTTCCCAAGTGTCCCCGAGTTTACGCAGCCCCACCCTGGGTCCCGGTCCCCCACCTTCGGAAGCAGACTGAGAAATCCAGATTGACGTTAGCACCTCTGGTTTGAAAATGTGCCTCAGCAGCAGTAATGGTCAGAGAGGATTCAGATAGCACAGCCGCCAGCACCGGACCCGTGCGCCCCGACTGTGCTACGGGACACTTCTTTGCAACTACTTTGAGCCCAAGACGTTTTCTTACAAAACTGTTGAGGGAGAAATAAATGAGGCAGAGGATTTCCCTTCCGCTTTTATATTCTCAGCAATAACTTCTTTCTAGCTTTTCTTTCCCTCTGTCACTGGGAGGTTGTGTTTGTTCTTCGAAATGACTTATTCGCTCTTAATTTTTTAATCTAATTCATTTATTTTAAACTTCTAAAACATGAGAACAAATATATTTCTGAGCACTAACCCGACTCTATTTGGAAATGTGAGGAGAAAATAGTGTCTCCGTAGGGAGTGTCTTCAAATTTTATGTTATTTAGGTGGAAAATTCATGTTGTATAGGTGTGTGTTAGGCGAATTATAGCTCCCATGTGGCTAACTTCAGGCCTGCCTGGGTGTGAGTCTTCCAGTGTTTTAAGGATTTTGATAATCCCAATAAAAAAGGTCCCTGTTCTGAGGATTAGTACAGTCTAATAAGTGAGCAATTACAAATCGAGGCAGCTGAATACATTTGACATTTCTTTTTTCCGGGGGTGGATTGAGGGAAGGAGGGAGTAGAGGTAAAGATGTGGGCGTCGGAAATTGTTCTGACTGCAGAGCAGAGCTGAGCTCCCACAGCTGAGTCTCGGGCCGGGCCCACCCGGCGTCCATTCAATTCTCACTATTGAGAACGATAAGGGAGTTCGCGGTGCTCACCGTGCCGCGGGGCCTTCCCGGCACAACGTTGGAGGGTCGTCTGGGGCCTGGACAGCGCCCGGGCGGGCTGGGAAGCGGCGCCAGAGGACGACCTGGGCGGCGAACTCACGCTTTGGCCCTTTGGCCCACGCAGCTGATCCTCCCATTGCTCTAGAGAGTCGCAGGCTGCGCCGTGAAATTCCCACGCTCAGCGGTCGCTCTTGGTTCACCCTTGGCAAGCGCTACCTCTCCCAACCATATTTCCATTCCGCAGATGCAGAACTCAAGGCTCAAACCTGGACAGAATTGGTAGCCAAATTAACCGTGAACCCAGTTTGAGCTTCTGCCCTTAACCTTTAGCTCAGCAGTGCGGGGGTCCCCACGCTTGGACCCTGGGCATCATCAAACTGCCACCACTAAAACCGAGGGAAAGGTTTACCTCTGATAAACTCATTCAAAATGTTTGCATTTGGAAATGGAGAAAGGAGAGAATTCTATTTCAGCACGCCTATATGGTTTGTGTTTTATTTTGGTCGATTTATTTGGTATTACCTAATGGGGTGCGCAGGTAGGGCCTCTGAGGGCATCTGGGAGGCAGCCCCTCTCCTTTAGGACAGGGCAGGGCCGCCACAGGGGCTCTCTCCTCTCCCTCTTTCCCCAGGTACTGCTGCCAACAACCCTCTGTGCGACCCCAATAGGGTCACTCTAAAATTTCACATCTGTAGAATGGGAGACTTGAGCCAAAAGATCCCTGCAGTATTTTCCGCCTGAAGTTTCTCAGATTCTAGGCTCGTGATGGGAGGCTCCGCAGCTGCTCCGGCCCTGCGGCCAGCTCCGCCTCCCCAACAGCCGCCCTCCGGGGCCGAGCTCCCCCATACCCTCTGCGGGACCGCAAAGCAGGCATTTCCTGGGGCCGCCTGAACCGGTGGCCCAGAGCCCCCGTTCCTGCCACCGGAATCCGGACCCTCCTCCCGCGCCCCTAGCCAGCGAGGCGGCGCCTCGGGGGTTAGCAGCTGCGAGCTCGCTCCGCCTTCCTCGGCGACCCGGGCGTGAAGCGCGGTCGGCGCCACAGCGGCTCCGATGCCCGCCCGGAAGGGAGCGCTCTGGCCCCGGTATCGCAGCTGCGGGACAGCCGGGAGCGGCGCAAGGGGCAGCCGCGGCCAGTTGTCTCCCCAGTGGACTGGGAAGGGAACTTTATCTCGGCCTGGACTCCCGCTGTACCTTTGTTGGGGGTTAGTGGGGAGGCTGCGGTCGTCAGAGCTCCTGGATGTCTCGGGAACCCCTGGCCAGAGACCCGCACTGGCGCAGCCCCGCCAATGCCGCTGGCCAAGCCGACGACAGGGATGAGAAATTCCTTGCAAGAGTGGCTGGAAGGCTCTGCGGAGAGGGAATAAAAGCTTCCCAGAGCGAGCTCCCACTGCGCCTTGGGAATGGTGCGCTCTCCAGTCCCAGTTGGACCCTCTGACATTGTCACAGGAAGCGCTGCCATGTATGAGGAGCCCTCTGCAAACTACAGGCGAAGGATGACTGCTCTTGGCCTATCAATAAGATTTTGACACTCAGGTTGGTTTGATGACTTGTGTCATGAGGAGTAGAGGTGTGGGCTGATTTCAAATTCTTCTTCCACGCAGCATCCTGCTCTGGGCCGGAGCCTCCCTTGTCTCCTAGAGAATGGGGCAGGGAATGGAAGGATGGGGAGACTGAGGTAGAGGCCCCTATTCCGCAGGCTGTCTCCTGGCTGGCTCCTGAAGGGCTGGCTGCTTCCCTCACCTGGAAGTCCAGGCCCCTGTCAGGAAGTCCTCTCCGCACAGTCTGCCAATCACCTGGTTCTGTTACAATTGTTCTCCTCCCGCTTCAGGCCTAGGACGGCAAGGACAGCTGCCACTTACCAGAGCCAAGGCACTATGCCGTTCCTGGGTGTCCTCTTCTCCTCCAGCCCCTTTGTAAGTCACATGCTCCTCTATTTAGCGGCATATGATACGCCAGAGCTGCCTTGCTTTTCCGAGTCTAGTCAAGCTGTAGAATACTTCTGAGCCTCAGTACCCCCAGCCACCTGTGGTCCTCCATTTGTCCTCTTCTCCTACAAATACCTCCAGCCCCTCTCTTCCTCCATGATGCTTCTAGCATTGGAAATCCTCCAGGACAATTCTGCCTTCAACTTTCCTGGCCTGAGCCACGGAGTTGATGGAGGGAAACGTGATAGAGATGACTGGTCCTGCTTTAATTTTCGCACTCCTACAAGCACATAAAGGTGCTCTGCCACTCTCCTAAGTGTCCCCAGGAGGCCTGCTTTCCCAGTCTTTGAGACAAACATTTCTTAGCCTTCTGTCCTGCAAGAGATAACATTTCTCAAAGTGTCTTTGAGCATGTAGATGCCGACAGGGGATGATCTATCCCTTCCACCACCAAACCTCCACACCAGTTGGCACTCCACACTTGTCATAGGGGAGGAAGTTGCAGGCTAATTCCAACAGACAGTGAACCTCAATAGTGCTTTGCTTCTCAGCCTTTGCCATCTCCTTGTCCCTGAGCCATCTCCCTGTGGCGGACACTGATGGGCCACCAGCACTGCATCAGTGAAGGACTTGCTGCCTTAGCCACTGGCATGCTGTCAACGTGGTCTCCTGCAGCCCGCCTCTCCACCATTGCAGACAGCAGCTAGGCTGAAGGGTAGGTATGCTGCTTCCCAGGTGACCCCTAGCCAGTGACTGATGTAGAAGCTAAAGGCTTGCTCTTCTCAACCCAACTTCGGACATCTCCGAAGGGCTGTTCAATCTCTAGAGCTTCTTGTGAGTCAGGCAAAGGATGTTGGGCTCCATCATAGCTGATCTTCTCCCCGTGCCCACGCCTGCTTCCTCCTCCTCCCTTCTACAGGTGCGGGTGCTATATGCATTGGTTTATATGCTTCCTGTCCACTTCCCAAGGAACTCAACCTGCACCTCTCTCTATAGTATGGTTCCCATCAGCATCCAAACATACTCTTTTTTTTTTTTTTTTTGCTTCTCTTCATAGCAAAATGTATGAACAGTTTTTACCTTTCACCTGTCATTTTCTTTTTATTAAGCTAGTTTTTTTCTTCAGTGATGAAAAATTTATACACGCCCTGAAAAGGATCGAATGTGTAAGAAATACAGAATATGACTCTGACCCCAAACTGCCAAACATTGTTTGCGAATATAAGCAAAAAAGTATACATTCCTCTCCTCCCCTCTTTTCCTTTCCCAAATGGCAGCGTTAAAGAGCAATGTTCTGTGGTGTGGGTGATTGCTGTCTATCAGTGTATGTTTCTTAGAAACATTGACTATAAGTAACAACAACTTAAAAATGATCGAAGTTATAAATGTCTCTTTATGCTTTCCTTACCTCCAAACACATTTTCCTTTCCGCGGCTGCCCCCTGCTCCACTCCTCCAGGCTGTCCTGCTGCTGCGAGGCCGGGACCAGAGCCCTCCCTTCCGGGCGGGCATCAGAGCCGCTCCAATGCCATGGGAGTATGGTTTCCTAAATGGTACCTCTAAAGTTAAGAAGAAAGTACAGGCTAGGCACGGTGGCTCACACCTGTAATCCCAGCACTTTGGGAGGCCGAGGCGGGCGGATTACGAAGTCAAGAGATTGAGACCATCTTGGCCAACACGGTGAAACCGTGTCTCTACTAAAAATACAAAACTTAGCTGGGCATGGTGGTGCGCATCTATAGTCCCAGCTACTTGGGAGGCTGAGGCAGGAGAATCACTTAAATCTGGGAAGCGGAGGTTGCAGCGAACTGAGATCGCACCACTGCACTCCAGCTTGGGCGACAGAGTGAGACTCCGTCTCAAAAGAAAAAAAAAGTACAATGGTTGTGTCTGGACTCATTTTTTAAACTACACATTTTCCCTGTTGACAGCATTTATTCACTCCTTAATCTTAAAAAATAGGTAAATAAGCATACATACTTGCTTTCATCCTTCCAACTTAAAAAAATGAAGCAGTGTACATTTTATTTTACTCTATCACGATTGATAATATTTGTAGTCTTAACTACAATTCCTGGAGTTCTCTACTTTCAGTTTTATGTTTATGTGACTCACAGGAGCCAAGAAATCTGAGAACTTCATTTTTGATACATTATAGTTGGCTGGCGATCATGGAATGATTGGTTATTGTTTGTTGTTTGAGAAGTGTTCACTGATGCTGTATTTTTTGTTGTCTTACCTGCTTGAGAACATCTGTCTGTTGCCTTTAATACTTGATGAAAAATTTGACGGAGTAGAGAATCTTTGGTTAAAATGTACTATTTCTTTCCACTTAGAATTGAATGAAACTTGTTTTGTTCTCC